TATCGTCTGCGCCCCAGCTGGCGGCGCCAAAGTAGCGCGGCGTCGTGTCGTGCAGGTATGCGCTGACGGCCGGGTTCAGGCGCGCGTCGTCCGTGACGCCGTACTCCTCGAGGCCCTCGTCTGGTAGACGGGCTAGGCCGCCGCCGATGACGATGTCGCCTGCGAAGGGGGAGGGGGCGGAGGGCGGTCTGGGGATCATGTACTCGTAGCCGCCCTCGTAGATGAAGCTGTATGTCGTCGGGAGGCCGGCGCGAGGCATGTTGCAGCCGGAGCGGTGAGCCGTTATCTGGCCGCGCAGAGGCACGATGGCGCCCTGGAAGGGTTTGTGGAGGGATGCGGTGTAGCCGTTTGTTGCGAGGATGACCTTTTTTGCTGTGATTGTGCCCTTGGGTGTTTCCACCGTCCATCGGTGCCCGTCTTTCGTGATGTCTTGTTTCTGGAGGCTCGTGGCTGGTGTGTTGGTGAAGAGCTCCATGCCCTTGGCGACGCACATTTCCAGCACGCCGGTGGTGAATCTGTAAGCGGAGATGCTCCCGGCTTCATAGCCGACACCGCCGCATAACCCCTCCCCATCGACGTGGAAGCGGCCCTTCATCTCCTCGACGTCGTAAAACTCGTACCGCGAAGTGTCCTCGTCAGGCATGGCCCTCCTCATCGCGTCGACGGCCACCTTGGCCGCCTCCCACTGCTCCGGGTCGTAGATGGCGTCCACGGTCTGGCACGGCCTGCTCTCCGTGTCTTTGAGGTCTGCGGCGAAGGCGTGCACGGCGCGGATGTTGGCGAGCTCCATGCGCGCGATGAGGCACGCCTGGTCGAGGCCGAGGGCGGAGAAATGGTGGAGGAAGGAGCGGTAGGACGCGGCTTTGGTGTGGCCGCCGTTGCGGCCTGTGGCGCCGGAGGTTACGGTGCGGGCTTCGAGCATTGTGATTTCTGGCGGTGACGGGGACGAGAGGAGGAAGTTTGCGATGGCGGCGCCGGTGATGCCGCTGCCGATGATGAGGGTGTCTGTGTGCGAGGGGAGGGCGCCGGAGGTGTGCGTTGAGAGAGGGGATGGAGGATTGTGCCAGTAGCTTGGGGTTGGGTTTGGCACGGGGAGGGAGACGGGGATGCGGGCTCGTGAGTCCATGTTGGGTGGCTTGGTGGTGATGGGGAGATGTTGATAATGGAAGTCTGGGTGTCGTTCCTGGTAGGCTTTGTCTTGCAGGGTCGTGAAGATCAGATGATGTCAGGCACGTTGATGGGAGATAAGTTCAGATGCATATGGATGCTCGAGATGCGACTTATGTTCAAGAACTGATGTTTAACTTCAAAAAATTTCACAATAACATTGTTCTTATTGTTGATCGTGACACGACATGAGAGGGGTTGCCAGCTGACTGTCCCGCGGCAACTCCCCCGCTTCACAGATAAGCTACGGGAGATCGGCCATCATGCGGGGCCGCCTCCGGTTGCACATGCCCGTTTAAGATTGACGTTCCCAGTGGAGATGTTCGGCGCCGGATCGAAAACGGCATTTAGGTGCGATATCAGGAGCTATTCATGACCAAGAAATCATTTGCATTCTTGTGCGTCTTGTCCTAACTGTTGACTTGGGTTGGACCTCTTCGGTTCGTCCTACGACAAACCTCTTGGTCCTGGATTTCGAGTGCCGCTTGAAGACCCTGATGGTGAATCCAACCATCTGGGCACATATGCGGTCTCCCACAGTGGCGCAGTTCGAAGATTAATCTCACATGGCAGAAAGGCTTTTCTTTCAGAGGTTCTCTGCTGGTGCACAGAAACGCTTTTGGTTTCTTACCTAAGGGCCTTCCTGAAATATCCACGTGTCTCTGCTACCACCTTTGCTATGCGCCTTACACGTCGGTTAAATTCCAGATATTTGAACGACTTCTCAAAACTCGTGCCTGAGGAGGCCGTAAATAGGAGGAAGACGATGAGTCTTACCGAGACGACCAAAGTCGGTGACATAGACGGTCTTGACTGTCCCACAGACAGAAAAAAAATATAAATGCGTCGGTGATGGCTCAAATGTTGGCGTCGTTCATACCTAGTCATTAGTTTAGATCTGGAAATATATCAAAATTTTCATACAACAGAGGTACTGCCGAGGTGACGCCTCCAGCATTGACGAGTCCTTGGCCATGCTGCTTCGAAGATCGCCCCCTTTCTTTCACTGAATGAAATACACCTTAGCTGACGGAACCGCTTTCGCAGATCAGGCGGAAAGCTGATGGTCTCGCAGGATGTAGTCCTGACCAGTGTTTTGGACATCATTTTTTGGAATGGGACGTATCAAATCACACCTACCCTTTCACACCAAACCTCCCGCACCCATCTCGGAGGCTGCTAGCTGCTAGCCTCACGTCTCTCTAGCACTATATCTTTACCCCTCTCTAGCACACACTCTCTCTAGCCCTTCCCAGCACTCTCTCCAGCACCCTCCTCAGCACTCTCTCCAGCACCCTCCTCAGCACTCTAGCAGACCTATTATCTGGTTGACCTAAGGCCTCTATGTCCCAGATATACCCCCTAGTTGAGATATATCCTTTGCATGCCAAGATCTTCGGCTTACCTTATGTCCCCCAGAGGCCATATCTCAGCCAGATGACCTAGGTCAGCCAAAGGTCCCAGGTCAGCCAAAGGTCCCAGGTCAGCCAGAGGCCATCTCTCAGCTATAGTACTTGAGAGGGTGCCAGAGAGGGTGCCAGAGACGTGAGGCCGGTAGCTGGCACACGTTTCCACCATCTCAGTGTGGCTTGGAGGGCGCGGGAGGGGCTGCGGGAAAACGAGTGATTCAAGCCGCCCCTTTGGATTTCGTGCCTTGAATTGGAGTTAGTGCTTCGAAATACAGGGACATCGACTTCATAATATTTCCGTTTTCATGCTCACCCATATGTGTCTGTGGTATGTGCCGCATGCCAATTCATTTGCAATTGTCGGCTCGAACTGCCCAACTCCGCCCTTGATGAGGATGACGGTTGAAGCGCTACTCGTTTGCAAGACAGTATGTCACATATTCAAGCGGATATGCTCCCATGCGAATAGAAATGAAAGGGTTATTTCTTAAGGATAGCGATGTTGGAAGTCGAAGGCTTCGGTGCTTGGACAGCATCGCCTCTGGTGAGGGAAGGAAGGTTGTGTTTATGGAGGCGAGGAGGAGGGTTTCTCTCACATTACGACCTGCCGGGGACATTCAACGCCGTCCCTTGCTATCACCTGCGGTCGGATTCAAGCCAAGTCCATGGTGATGAGCCGGGGTAGGACACGTCAGCATCTCGAACTCCGGGCTCCAGGTCAATCCCGAAAGAAGGCAGCCAGACATTCGAGCATCATCATGGTTGTTTTCTCTGGAACGACTCCTGGTCAGAGAAAGAATAAGTTTGGGGCAATTGTGCTGCTTTAAACGGGAAACGTCAGCCAATAACCCGGCATTTCCCACCCTCTAGCCAAAGCTGGACTCAATGCCCATTGGAAAAGTTTGCCGGGTGGTTGTCGAACAGCATATGTGGCTCACGACTACATGGAAGGCCTGCAGGGATGCGACGGACCTCTCTTGCCATATATCCAATATGTGGTGTGGTACAGCCATTGCGACATATAGGATCAGGGTGCAAGCGGCTTTCGGAGAAACCAAAGTTCATCTGAGACTTCATATCCAATTGAAGACGGCCTCGCACGAAAACTTTGACAGACGAAGGGACATACATTCGAACAGGTGGACAGGTTTACGATTAACAAAGGCATGGGGAGATGGGAAAAGCCTCTTCGTGGGTCCCCGTCACCCACTAAACTCACACGGGGGTGGGTGATGGTGTGTGTCTATTTACGTTCCTTCATGCTGCGAATTTTCCAACCGTCCTTTTCGTGGGAGAAGGATCCGATTGGGGTGGAAGTAGAAGAAATGAAAATCCCTTCTCGACCTCACCAAAGCTGCTGTGGGATAGTACGAAGGGCGACGAAGAGCAGAAAGAGGAGGCACACGCCGTGGAGGGAGACTTCAGCTTGGCCACTGGGAAGACGGCTCTACGCAGTAAAACCACGGGACCACTCACGCATTATCTACCTTCAGCAACTACACAGTATCTGACGTCGAGGCTGCTGGAACTGACCAGCCAAAGCCTCTGCATACTCAGGGTATCCATCTACAACGCCCTTTTACATTTTTTCCAGCCGTCGTCTCGTTCCCGGATGGCCCTGGAGGCATCATACCCGGAAAGTCCCTCTGATAACCAGGAAACTCTCGCTGACCCCCCGTCAGCCAGAAGGGGCAACATGGAGTCCAAACAAAGTTCGTATCTGCTATGGCTGGTATGCAGCAGAGTCACAGTAACCCCGCCATGGCTGAGATACCTCCAACCAACATACTGACCGGTCATACATGTAGGTTACAAAGATACCATCTCCCACTGTCCGGACGGCGCAGGAACACTCCTCGCACCCTTTCGGCACCTGACCAAGCTCGAAACAAAGTAGGCTGTCCTTCTGATCTGGTTTGAGTGCCATAACAGGGATCAACCGATGTAAGACTACCTTTTGATGTGATCAGGCGGTGAAGTAGTTGACGTAGAGGTAGAGAGAGCGTCGGGTTTCAGAGATAACGTCCCGATGAGTCCCCGGAAGCCTCACCGAACTCGAATCTTATTTCTAATGGTACCAGCAACGTCCTTTCTCCGAAATGTTTGGCCTCTCCGGTTACCTCTTCTCAAACCTACAAGACGTCCGGAAAGAGGCAGAAGTGCTGTTTTCATTCTTCCCATATATCAAACTCACCACCACACTTACTACTACTTCAACTGCCACTCTTACTGCCACTCTTACTACCACTCTCCAATACCACGCTTAACTACCGACATCAACTACCACATCAACTACTACACCAACTACTACACCAACTACCATATATCACACTTACTCTGCAATTTACCATTAACATGTCTACGTCATCAGTTAGCATGTTGAGCGCATCTACATCTACCGTAGATAACCACAAACTTCATGTGATGGCTTATGCTGCACTCATGCCGCAAGAAGAGAAGGCCAGTGCCGCCGAAGTCGTAGCTGCTGCCGAGGCCCTCTTCAGCTTTAACAAGAATCCAGACTTTTGTAAACCCTTTTGGGAAACGACGATCAAACCCTCAACAGCCAAGGAGAATGCGCCGAAAATCGCGAACGGGCGGACACCACTGCCGCTCGCCCCATCAGAGCGTCGGCTACAATCATCTAAGCCCGCCGCAATGTCAGAGACGGCGACGAAGTCTTCTGCGGCCTCGCAGGATGCATTCAAGCCAGAGCGGGCAGCAGAGCCCAAGAGAGAGACAAAGCTGGAGACCGCGCCGGCCAACGTTGCGGTCCCACAGCATACACTACAGGCCCCGTCTGAGGAGGCCGTGGAGCCAGAGTTGAAGAATGCCGCTGAAAAGAAGGATCGGGTACCGTGCTTCTGCTCAAAGTGCAAAGGTCGTCGCAAACCCGTTTCCCAACACACCATAACGGAGCACGCCCGGGCTGAGGAGTACCACAGGAATGGCGAGGAGAAAATCGACAAGTGCGAAAAGTGCCGCAAATTCGACTGGCCCTGCGTAGCCGTGGGAGACGGTCCTTGCTCATCGTGTACATGGATCAAGGAAAAGTGCCCGAGAGACCACGGCATCGCCCCGCCCGACGGCAATGTACTTGGGCAATCCACCGAGGTCATGGTCGGTGAGACACAACAAAAAGCAACGAAGCCCAAGCAGGCCAAACGAAAAGCTTTGGAGCCCATGGAGGGTCCAAAGAAGGCACAGAAGCTGACAGGCGGGCGCAGACTCACCTTCGCCGAGAACGTCAAGGTGGAGCCGCGACAGCCCTCCCTCTCTCCATATAGTGTGAAGGCGATAGACGGCGGAAACAACATACCTGTTGTCGGTGCCCCCCCTAATCCCTGTATGTGGACGGCCGTCAACTCGTAACTCCAGCGGAGCAAGGAGTACCAGGGACCCGAATTATTCCCCAGGTTCCCGGTCGGTACCAGCGCTCGAAGAGTTTGAAGGAGTGTCATTCAAGTGGTTGAATAGATGGCAACTATGGAGGAGGCAAGAAAGATCGTGGGGATATCTCCGTCTTTGCACCGCGTGGTGGGGACGTTTCGTGAGCGGACAAACATTATTATTGTACTAGGTATTTCATTTGTTTTAGCGCACAAGCATTCTTATTCCAGCTGGGCGCAAGCTTTGAAAATTCAAATGGATATTTTCCACCCATGTGAGCCCACTTTCTAGTGATGCTGAAAATTGTATTCTCCCTTCGAGCTACAGCTTGGTATGTCGTTGCCTGTGCTTTACTGAGAGTTATCTCCGAAGACTTGGCAGAGTTTTGCCATTCAGGGGAACAAAAAGCGCCCCCTTCCTGCGAAAGGGGAGCATCCGCCGGACTGTCAAACTCAAAGGTAGTGGCCATCTACATCTCAACAGGGTGCCACCCTCAAAGGTTCTCAACATCAAAGCAAAGTAAAGCATGCATCGAGAAATCCTTCTGTTGATTAATTTCAAGTAATTTGCCAATAGTTGTTTCCCTCGGCTTCATTCCATGTTCATGTGTCCAACCATTCAGTTCCGGTGCCTGGGTCTTGATGCCAAGAGTCTGTCATCCAATGCAGGACTCGGGTCTGGCGGCAGGGCGCACGCTTGACCAAGATTACTGTCAACCTGCGGCCACGGAGGCTTATTAGGGTCAGTAAGGAGCTGTGGGGATTGCTTCCCATGTTCTGCGTTGGGACCGTGATTCGCTGTTGCTTGCCATTCGTCAGCCATCAGTCGCTCATCACTATGAATGTTGCGCATATTTCATATATATGTCATGCCGTGTAGATGAATGTCCTCAGACCCGCAGAATTATGCCGGCATACAGCCCCTGACGATGATTCGACTTGTGAGGACTTGGACATGAGAACTTGCAGCTTTTGGATCCTGGGACGATGAAGTGCAAGTGTCTTTATTAGAAATCTCTGTACCACCAATTTACAGAGATTCTCGAAGCTAAAGTTATCTCTCATGGAGTGTTTTCTTCCATTACGCCATCTCTTTGGATCTTCTAGTTACCCTCATGGCCACCTTGCTGAGCTGGTTCTCTGAATGCATAGAAGACCGGCAGATTTGCACCGTCCTAGGAGATAGCGTACCGTACTTGTTCACCCTCGTGACTTTCGGTTTTGTGAGAGTACCTAGGGAGTGCGAGCTGGCGACATGGATTCATTGCGCTCATGACGCTGGAACGCCGATGACGGGGAGAAGATGTCGTCAGTAGAACTTGAAATAGCAGGCTAATCGGTGCTCGGACTGGGGAAGGAAGTTCCGCTTTCAAGGGACAATGGCTCAGGTGGACTATACACGTCGGCGTGAAAGTGGGTGTGTTCCTCGTTGATTAAGTATTCTGAATAAGTTATGCTAAACCAAGTCGTCCTGTGTAGGAAACAGAACGGTCGCTCGGCCACCCAAAGATCTGCCAGCTTTTCATGTCTTCGAGCCCTTTTAAATATGAGTGGTTGACAACTACTGCTTTTCGTTCTGGGCATAGATGAAGTTTGCAGCTGCCGACTTGTCAGTGCATGTGCCAACAACAGCTCTGTGACTGCAGTCTCGAACTCACCGACAGGAATAAGACCGTTCTCCTTGGCCCAGTTCCTCACGCCACCACCCTCTTCTCCACCCCAGTGCTTGCGCTCTTCCGGCTTGGACAAGTTTAGCCTCTCGGTCGTGCCATTGGCCGGTACCCAGACAAGGAAGACGTAACGGTGCTTGCCAGTCTTGGCCGGAGGACCGGGAGGCTTGTATTCGACGACGTCCTCAACGGCCGGCTTGGCACCGGCAGATGAACTCGATACGCCAGTAGCAATCCAGTGGCAGAATTCAGACCATTTGGGGTTGTCGCGTGAGGGAGCATCCGGGTCTGTCAGAGTGAGGACGTATGTGGTGGTGATGCGGATGCCGGGAAAGCCCGAGCCCTTGACGAGAGACACCGACGGCGCCGACTGGAGATCGGCAGGCTTCAACGTGTTGCCAAGGTCTGCAGCGTTTGACGAGTCCCACTCGGCCGAGAGACCCAGGATGGGCTCAAAGTCATCGATGACTGTTGGAATAATCTGAGCCTTGGAGAGCCTGCGAGCTGCATTAGTTGCGACCATCCATCAGCAGCATTGAAGGGTGACGTACTCGTCACGAACACGAGTCAAGTCCGCAACACCTCCAAGAACGACTTGCTGGTCCTGTGCCGGAGCGGCGAGAACGGCACCGCACAGGGCGGATGCTGCCAGGAGCTTGCCTGCAATTCGGCCCGCCATTGTGATGCTGTTTCGACGCTGTCTGTTGCAAGACACGCGGTGGAGAAGTGGTATCGCCAACGGTGGAGATATCCCGAGCCTGGGTGTAGATAGATACGCGGCCTGCAAGCTTGCGCAATTCGTTGCAGAATCAATCGCAATGGCTTGCGTTGAAGAATCGGCGCCGCTCTCCAACGGTTTCAAAGGGAGGTTCGGATGCGTGGTGGTGATGTCATGCGGGTGCCGTCTGGCGTGCTCTGTCTTTCCCCGCCCGGACCCCCTGTCGCCGGCAACAACACCCGCCGATGCTTCCTGAACGGGGCCCGATCACCACCCAACTTTATTTCAGCCACGAAAGTGCGGCTCTCGAATTGCGGTTTTCTCAATAATGAAATCAATTTACGATTATCACTTGCCACATCTTTCTACCTACGTGCACCGCTAAACGGACCTTCGAGGTGTTGGTTGTGTGTTGTCTTGGGATTCATATCTACAACATCCCTGTATCCCGTCCAATGGTTGGCGGAGTCACCAAAACTGGCTGTACTTTTCCCCGATTACCTACATAGCGAAACCTCAGGCTTTTGGTACAACACAAATGAATTGATTGAGAATACTATTAGAACACCCTTCAAGTCCGTTGTGAAAAATATCAAAAAGAGAAGGGCCCGAAGACAAGGGGGACAGAACTTCATTTAGGGCAGTCAAGACATGAGTAGCCCAGAATTTCGAAGGACGTAGTACTTTAAACTGGCATTTTCCAGTCTGTCTTTGGTTTTTTAATTTGCAATCGCTGTCAAGTTATCAGAGATAGCGATCCTCTAAGATAAATCATCCTGGAGGAGTTGTATTTCGACAGTCATCACTGCCACCACTGCGGCAGTTGAACGGGTAAGCCCGGCGCAGCCCCAGTGATCGACATTCTGTATGTAAGTGCCTTACTATCACCCAAGAGCTTTTTCATGAGTGGTCATCACTGTAAGTAAGCCTGGCTTCAAGGCCAACCACCGACCGCATTGGGAAACCGATCATTTGATTGCTTCCCGCATTTCATGTGTCATCATCATCATAACATGCTATGCAGAAAGGGGCACACGCTGGCAAGGTGTGATGCTTAATGGGGCTCGGCTCTTGGCAAAGGTCCTTTTGCCTTTTCATCACACAAGTCGGGCAAAGAGCATTTTGATGTCTCCTGGGATTGGAAGACCAGTACACAAAAGTTCCCAATTTACCCCGAACACCTCTTCGGAACATTTAGCAGTATATTTGATAATGCCGACATCATGAACCATTCTGATGTATCAGCGAACTGTAAATCAACTACCTACACATCAATATGAAGACACGCTACCGTTGATCAGCATGGGCCCGAGCCGGAGCGACCCTCAGCCTTATCTGACATGCTTTTATACCAAAAATACCAGCCTTCCGTGGTAGAGTTCACAGACTATTGACTAAAATTGTCGATCAATCCTTCAAGGCACAATTCTGCACTTTCATTTCTCGGGCGCTGGCAAGCACTGAGCAGCTGATGGCCAGATGACACATGGCACCACAGACTTGCAACGATGCCTTCAGCATTTCGCCCGCCACCATTCATGTAATTAGCCGCCTTATAATTTTGCCTGTTCTTCATCTTTTGAAACCTAAAATCATTGCAGTCGGGCAACGTGCGTGATTGGCTGCCTGCAAAGGGTCTGGGCTGTGGGTGGGTGGCTAGGCAGCCTTTGCCCGACGGGTTAGTTGTTCAGGGAACATGATTGCGTTTACATCACGTCCCGAGTCGACATGGATGCACTGTCGACCAGTGCTTCAGCCCAAAACCTGGGAAGGAAGAGTACGTGCCGATCGGTCGCAGGGCTTGGGTAGCCACAGCCTGCTCCTACAAACGGAGGCTGCGACGAAGAGTGGTTCGTCTGCGAAAAGAAGGGAAGGTCCACGAAAACAAATTTTCGTTGGTCGAGAGGTTCACCGCGTCATGTTTCGCGAGCATGCAGGCAGCCGTGTGGTTCATTTCCCTCTGGAAATGGCAGTGCTGATGCGTTCCTTTCTTGGGTGTATCACTGGGGTTTGGGGGTCTTCTCCATCTCGTCTCATCTTTTTAACCTTCCTCCTCGCTCATTCTTAGAGACTTGACAGCCCTCGGATTCCTTGATTGGCGGCTTTCTGCCTGGCTCTCCCAGCGTTGCATCAGAGCGGCAACATGTCCTCCAAGGTGGGCTCATCGTCGATTCCGTTCGCGGTAAGGACTTCGTTTGTGCGATGTATCCAGAAGAGACTCTTCCGTACCTGCGCCGTTTGTACCATACTCTTTCTTGGCGTAACGATACACCTTACTCGCGAAACCCTTCCTCAACACCATGCGCCGTTTGAGGCACCGGAAACGAAGCTCGTTGTCCACGGCGATGTCTTGGACGGTCTACCAGAACCTGCAGACGACTTGCAACCATTCCCATATTCGCCAATGGTAGCGGATGACAGTGCCAACAGCAGAACGGAACACACACCATGGCTTGCGGCAGTAATATCAACAGCATCGGATGTTGAGCGCCGAATGCTCATCAGGTCAACTTGGATGAGGCTCTATGAGGACGTTCCGTTCGATGGTCGGTTTGTTGTCTCAAATCCTGGACCGCGGTGGATGGAAGTTGTCTCTCGCGAGAACAACACGTTCGGCGACATGATTGTTCTCGACCATATTCAAGAAGACGACGTTACTGCGAATACGATAAAGACCCTCGAGTTCTACAAGTGGCTTGTCAACAAAAGCCTAAAGTACGATTTGGTCTCGAAGATGGACACCGACTTGTGGCTGAATGCCAGGGGATTCTGGGACCGCTTCCTTCAACCCAGGTTGTCGATGAATAATGAGAGTGGACGCTTTGAGAGTACCATCAATCGGACCGTCATCGGAGAGCTGTACTACTCGAAGTACTGGGATCTCACGTTTCCTCACGGAGCCATGTACACGGTAACTTGGGATATGGTTGAGCTGCTGTCGTCACTTCAGGAGAAGTTCAAAGTGGTAACTGGAGAGGACATGGCTGTTGGAACACTCATGTTGAAGGGACGCGAGCGAGCGAGCTTCATCAACTTCAAAGGCTCGGAGAAGTTTGACTACGACGACCGTGATGCGCGACAGGACGGCTCAGCATGGGCAAGGAAACATACGCACCCGAATTCAATCGACCACGCGCTTGTGGAGGACGATCCTATCGCCGTTCACCAACTCAAAGATGAGGCATATTGGTTCAAGGTGGCGGATTGTTTTGATGAGGACGGGGTCAAAGCGATGCCGCCGCAATCCAAGTACGAGACCCAGAGACCTATGTCGATGCGATGGCACGATTTCTGGTATTCCGTGGGCGTCTCAAGTCGATACGAGTCGAGATTTGATAAGATACCAGAGTTTCTTTGGACGTTGGAAAACGGCGATTGGATATGTGATGGCATCTGGAACTTGGGAAAGACCAAGACGGGTTTCGTTGAGGAATAGCAACGACTCATTTGTGAGCATTTTCAGCGACTCGGAGATACCATAAGGGAGTTAGCTTGTTTTTTTTTCGTTGCTTGCCAGTCTACATATACATAGAGAATCAGACTGAAGTTACAGCATATCCAAGGTTCGACGCGCAGTCTCACATTCACCTAATGCATCTAGCCCAGCGGCTCGCAGCCTTTGAAGACAACGTTATTGACGCAAGGGGTGAATGACGCTGACACAATCTTTGTGAAGCTAGATAACGTTGAGGCTGATGAAAACGTTGGCTCGCTTACCCAAGTCCGCCGTAAGCACGATTCCCAATCGAAACTGGACTAGTCATGAAACCGACAGCCGTATAATCCTTCGGTCAAGTCACGGATAGAATTCAGCCCGGCCTTCGTTGCTCTTCGACCCGTTCATGTGTGATGGCGGCTTTTCTCAAGCCACATGGACAAATATGTCCCGGATCGACGAAACTAGGCAGGCCTTAGCCGGAGCAACATAAAGCGCGACCCCGCAAATGCTTTTAGATAAAAGGATACGAAGTTCTACACGAAATGCATTCAATTCAATACTTTCAGCAGACAACCCCTTCATTTTGTATACACCATGGCCTCGACAATCGTGCTCATCACGGGTGCAAACCGTGGCTTGGGTTTGGGCCTCCTCCAACGTTACCTTGTTTTACCGAACCACATTGTGATTGCGGCAAATCGTACCCTTTCGAATCCCAAAACTCTTGAAAGTTACCCAAAGGGCGAAGGAAGTCGGCTGGTTGTTGTCAAGATTGATGCGACCGTGGAGAAAGACGCCCATGACGCCGTGGCAGAGCTACAGAAAGATCATGGCATTGACCATCTCGACATTGTCATCGCTAACGCCGGCGTATCTTCTGTCTGGCCAAGCGTCGCAGACCTCAAGATCTCAGATTTACAGGCCCATATGGAACCGAACGTCTATGGTGTCGTGTCACTTTTCCAGGCGACACGCTCGCTACTCAAGAAGTCATCAAGGGAGCCAATTTTCACGCTCATGGGATCCACTGCCGGCTGCTTGGAGTGAGTCTTGAAGTATTCTTTTAAATCATGGTCTTGGAAACTAATGCAGACGACAGAAATCAGCCGCCCATTACCAATGGTGCTTACGGGCCGTCAAAGGCAGCGGCAAATTGGTTCGGGATCAGGATCAATGCCGAGGAGGACTGGCTGAACGCCTTCGTCCTTGCTCCTGGATGGGTGCAGACTGATTTGGGCAACGCCGGCGCGCGTTACTTTGGGCTGAAGGAGGCCTCTATCGGAGTCGACGAGTCCTGCGACGGCATGATGGAGGTTCTAGCGAAGACCACAAAGGAGAAGCATGGAGGCAAAATGGTGCTTTACAACGGAGAGACTTCTGGCTACTAAATATGTTCGAAAAGAATTTTTCGATAATAGAACTCGACATACAGTTTTGAAAGACATGTTCGTGGTTATGTGAGACTTTGTCGAGGTGTCCATAGCCGGCCGATCGTCGAAGTACGAATCGACGCGGGTTAAAGGGGATAGCTTCGAGTGCCGACGCAAACCAGCCCCAAACTCGGATGGCTGTCTTCCGCACAACGAAGTCGGATAAAGACCACAAGTTGCACCGACGGCCGGACTTGAGTGAAAACATCTCCCGGTATGCGGTTCGGACACGGACAGTTTTGCGGGAAATGTGCGGGTCCGGCGCGGGGCTCTAGCGGAAGACTTGCGGAAGCCATGCAGACCCCAGCAAGAAAATTTTCAGAAATCCCCGACAAGTCTGGCAAGGATCTGAGGTGTTTTTTGACTCTTCCGCGACTCGCTAATTGGCTCAACCGCAACTAGCGACTCTGCAATCAAACGCAACCCCAATCTCCACGCGCAAAATTCTCCAGCACACTAACCGGTCTTCCGCCCACCACCCACACCGCCGCTTCACAAGCCACTCATCCGCCGCCCTCTTCAACAATCAATGGTTTCGTGGTGTAGTTGGTTATCACGTCAGTCTAACACACTGAAGGTCTCCGGTTCAAGTCCGGGCGAAATCATCCTTTGGGCGAATGGTTTAGTGGTATAATACTCGCTTAGCATGTGAGTGGTCCAGGGTTCGATTCCCTGTTCGTCCAGCTTTTTGCCTGTAGAGACCCCGTAATGATATTCTCTGGTCGTTGCGTTGTTTTTGACGTATGGTCATGGCTGTTGAAGGCCATATGAGATGGTGTGATGGGATGCTTGGTTGTGCTAAGGGTTGGCACTGCTTGTAATGAAGCACCTAGAGCGGACCTCTACCGTAGAGAGGAAGTGCGAGGGCTGCTTGCGGATTTTTTATGTGTTTTGGTATTGTTATGCTACACGCTGTGGAATTGAAAAGCGAAATAACAAGCCGAATGATGTTAAGAATGTCGAGAGCCTGACGTCGATGGCCCAGCTGCTACAACTGAAGACTGACTTGCTCCCTCGGCCTAGCTTTCGTCTTGCTGTTGTATTCTATGTTCTCCGGGTATTGACATTTGTGTGTTGATTATGCATGCATATACCTGCGACTCTTGAACTGGCGAGAGTGACATCTGCTTTCAGTGGCTAAGCACTCATGAAATTCTACTTCATCATACTATTTGCGGGCATTTCTGGTGCTGAAGACGTCCCAAGGCATTCTCGTTGCAGATCTGCCAATTTTTGTGGCTGCCATCGATATGTCTCAGCCACGAGGCAGAAATCTGGGCTTACGTGCGTGGCAAGAACACGACCAAGGGTGTACTGTCTTTCACAAAGTGTTTACTGTGGTACGCTTGTAATGACTGAGTACTTTACTTGTCCAACGTAGAGGTGTCCACACGTCATCACATCTCTCTCAGTGGCACTCACGATGGTGTCACCGTGTCATTGGTGTGCATCAACGTATTAAATAGAAGTCGCGACTCGCAATGTCCGGGTTTGAACTCAGTTCTTTCAGCATTAGAGCTAAAAGTCGTCTTCGTATCAATATCTCCAACGTCATTATGTGTCTCCCGTTGCGCTCGAAAAAGCATCGTATCGAAAATTCCTCCGAGAAGCCCAACTCTGAGACTCGTCCTGCAAAGGTTCAGTACTGGGGCTCGATGCCAGGCCATAGTCATCTTGGAGGCGGAGCCCACCAGGCACAATTCTGCAATTCCATGGAAAGGAAAGGCCGCCCGGCCCCGAGTGCTTACGGAGGACCTGTGGGGTTCTAGGACGCGGTCTGAGTTCAAAGAGGACGATCATGGGTCGCCTGCAGGAGGTTTCCGATGAGAATAATGACAGGGTACGTCGCTGAGCTTGTTTCAATGTCTCAAATGCTGTCCTTCTCTTTCCCTGGGCAAAATGTGTCTTTCATTGCGCTCTAAGAAGCGCCACCCCAGAAACTCTTGCAGCAAGCCTCGTCCTTCCAAAACGCCGTAATGGGGCAACCTACCCATGGCCGGCTACTGTTATCCTTCCAGCAGCGGGCAGAAGACAGAGTACTCTGACTTTGACGCTCGTATCGGCAACTATGGATGTTCAAGTCAAAGTATGTAGGATTGGTGTGATTATCTCGGAGACAAGGGTTAATATCAAGGTCATGGATTTGGAGGATCAACGGGAACTGGAGGAGATGGCGGTGGTGGTGACAGAGGGGATGGAAGTGGTGATGGAAGTGGTGATGGAGGCGGTGTATGATGGATATTTGGGAACATGGTGTTGCTTAGATGCGAGACGCAACACCGATGCGCGTGTTTTGGATAATGGCCATAAAAATAAGCAACGTGCAATATTTCTTTTCTTAATAAAATGCGTTTGTCATTTTGCTCCGAAAAACCGACATCAACAAGTTTTGTGGAGAAATGTCGTCTAATTGTAACTCAACACTGGGGCACGATGCCCGATTGTAATCATCTCTACGACGGCCGACACCGCGATGAGTACAGCAGTTGCCTTTGACGCGCAAGTCAAGGCAATGGTGGGGGGTCAACATGCCGGCGCTGTTTCGGCCGTGGCTGTACGAACTACGGACATCGCTATAAATCGTGCGAATACACAAAGTTTGGTAGACTTCAAAGCGTCTGGTAAGACTATGATGGAAAATAAGTCTTGTATTTTCGTCGAGGAAATTTGCATGAGGCCCAGGGTCCACAGGCGGGAGGCACGTAGATAGCCTACCCGGAGGGAAGAGAGGGTCTGTTATTCTGTGCCTTACTCACTCCTTCGTCTGATGTTTCCCATCCATGGAATTTGAGTTTTCCTTCACCGAGATCAGAAAAGGCACTCATCGTCCTCGTCCCCCGCATCGGCCAACTGGACCCCAAACATTACCCTCCGCCGCTCAATCAAAACATCTTTTTACCTAAAGCATTGCGGACAGTATGTCCGATACGGAGTCATAGCTCTTCAGCAACCTTAGAAAGAATCCATTACTGCATCTTCATAGTCAACATGTGCCTGCCATTACGCTTCAAGAAGCGTTTCTCCAGGAGATCTGGCGCCAGTTCGCCTCCCTCAGCGACACCATATTGGGGCTCTCTACCGAGGCCCGGCTATTACTACCCCTCGAGCGACGGCCAGGGAACAGCGTACTATGACCCCAGTGCCCAGCCTGGCGAGAGCAGAGAGGATGTTCGCGGTGCAGGCTACTACGGTGGCCATGGTTTTGGAGGAGGTGGAGGAACCACGGCCGGGAATGGGAAAAACGTCGGTGGGTACGGAGGGAGTGGCAGACTTAGACTTTCAGGGCGACAGGAAAGATATAAATAAGAAGATGTGGTAGCATGGCTCGATGGATGGTAACATCGGGGGTCTGCTGAGGACAACCTATAACGATGGAACAAACGGCACAGGATAGCAGCTGCGTATGACAAGGAGAGGCGGAAGGGCCTTGGTGCAGGTACCTAATGAATAAGAAATCATTCATTCATGAATAGTATGGAAAATATTTAAATCAGCCCCCTGATGACAACATTATCAATGAAAATGATAATGTAGGAAAAGCGAAAGGTACGGCCATAGGGTGGTATATTAACAGCCCAAAAACGTGCAGACGGGGTCTGGTACGATGAACCACGGGCAAAAAGACTCATTCATCTACCGAGAGCTTGCAGTCTATGAAGAGTAAATGAAACATCTCTTGCATATAATTGGACGCCTTCGTTCGCAAAGTGTCAATCACCCAGAGCGCAGGTCCCAAACGGCCACCCACTGTGACAGTCACACCGAACATGCATGGTGACAGCCTTCTTGGCACGTCAGAGCTGCATGTACGCCACATTTCCGGATGTTCTTGCATATTACCCTGGCTTACGCTGCTGGATTTTCCTCTTTTAGTACCATGTAGCACCCTGCTTTCTACATTTGATAAGCAACCCCCCCCCCCCCCGGAAGAAGACGTTTGTAATGTCCTCTCCGTTTGCTGCAATGCCGGTATTCTCTCCGATGCATGTGTCTCGTGTACCGCAGCTTGTTGAGACCATGGTCGCCCTGACCTAGACTTATGTTCAGGTACGTGCTGATCCATTTGATCAAGTATATTCATTCCATCAGCCCTGACAAAGTGGAACTGCAGCTTTTAGAGTGAGGCGATGACAGTTTGCTGGCTCCTCTAGTGTCTGACGTTATGCTAAGGGTTAGAAGACGCGACTTTTCATTCTTCAAGAGCGATGTAGATGCCGGTGCAGGTACCGCCCAAGTGCTTAAGGTACCTACGCAACTGAGCAAGTGCCGGACAGGGGTCGCAGGCTGTGCGTGGCTTGATCGAGAGAATGATTTGTTGGAATCGCTGCCTTGCTCACGGGAATTGGACGGACATCCAACGATACCGGAAGCACAGCCTCAAATGATAACATCTTATCAGATTTGATCTTATCTGCAGCTGCCCCTGTATTGTCAGTTCTATGACTCCATTTTCGCCAGGTCCATTGGGTGCAATGCCCTGTCGAGAGTGGATATCCCGAGGCAGGCTGAGCGGCGAAGCTCGCTGTACCGGTGTATGAGGACTGACAAGCAGACCACTTCTGCCAGGCATCAGTTGCCTTTTCTCTTTCGCCTTGATGGGCAGATTTTTGATAATGGTATATAGGTTACAGAAAGCAGTTTTCGAATAGAAAGGAGGATGTTCTACAAGGCAGTTGTGTGAGAAAGATCTTGCTCCAATATGCCCGCCATGGATGTTAGAAAGTCTGGCAAGTACAGCCCACCGAATCTTTCCCAATCGAGGGTCGAAGAACTCCGACTTGACAACCATGTTGTTGAAGAAACGCTCTCTGAGGACTTGCCATCTAGCCTCAGCGAGAAGAACCCACCAGAGAACGAAAGCACAGGCAACTCAAAAGGCTACGATTCACGATACTTGGGCAGCGTCAATGGGAGCTCGTCAGAGCACGGCGCCCCGGAAGCATCGGAACTGCCTCCTAATGGCAGTCCTCATACGGGTATCCCCAGCCTGCATGAGAGAGCCCGGCAATCAGTCCTCTCACCCTGGCTTTCCGACATCTACCGTCTCCTGGTCTCCATCCTTCTCCTCGCCGCTATTTACGCAGTCCTCCTTTCACAAAATCATAAGCTTCAACGAGATTGGAACATCCACATTACCCTCAACTCCATCGCCAACATTCTCTCGACATTCTTGCGAGCGTCAATCGCCACCGTCGCCGCGGAGATCATCTGCCAGACGCGCTGGACGTGGTTCTGGTCTGTCAGGTCATCAGATCCACATCGCCGCATGTTGGATCTGCAGCACTTCACCAACGGCAGCAGAGATGCGTTTGCGGCCTTGCAGCTCGCGAAACTTGTCAAGTGGCGCAGCCCCTTGACGCTCATGGCGACCATTATCTTTGCAGCATCCTTCGCGATTGGCCCTTTTGTTCAGCAGGCCATCAAGACCGTCGAGCGTTCTGTGCCGGAGGCCGGGAAGCCTGCCAGTATTCCCATAGCACGAAACATCAGCGCCGAGCCTTACTTCCTTGGAGAGTCCTCCGTTGTGCTGAAGGCTAGTACCGTCAACGCCTTACAAGCTGCTCTGTTGAATCCCAGTGGTATCAAAATCGTGCCAAATTGTCCCACTGGTAACTGCACTTTTACTGGGTTGAACTCGGGCGTGGCAATTGCTTTAATTGGGGAGATCACACATGCCTCTGCTGGAATATGTGCGGAGTGCACCGACGTCAGCGCTTTAATTGCAGCAACATTCGATGAGTCGACTAAGAACCTGTCTTTGCCTAACGGCATGGAACTCTCTCTATCTCAAGGGTATGAAACGGAAATGATCTTCCGACCGGGCGACCTCTCGTGGGCCGCCGGCGTTATGTCGGAAAATGCGCGCTCCCTCGCCGGTCTGGCGCTGTCCAACACAACAGTCCTTGCCGTAGAGAAAGCGAGCAGCGATGGGCACAATAAGTCTACTGCCGACTCCTTGGCTTTGTCGTGCTCGTTCTACGCGTGCTTGCGCAGCTACTCCGGCATGGTTCAGGGGACGGAGTTGAGGGAGGAACTTCTGTCCCAGGTTCCCATGCGCAAACCTGTTTCCAATGATACTACAGGTTATTCCGCTCCTCTTTCGCCCTGTTTGGAAGATGATAGAAACTTCACCGCGGAAGCTATCGCGGAGGGCCGCGATCTGACCTCGTCATGGGCTCCCCAGAAATGCTTCTACGGCATCTCAACGGTCCTCGCGACCAGACTCGGACCATTCTTAGATGATACGTACAACGCGACATGCCTTTGGTGCGAAGACCAGCTCTGGCTTTCGGACATTTGGAGCATGGCCGACCGGTTCACGGAGCTTTCTACCGCCCTGACTAACCAGTTCCGACTAGGACTAGGCGATCCTGCCGGATCTCAGGCAAAAGTCGATGGCCAAGCCCTTCAGCATGTTGCATTTTTTGTCATTGACACGGACTGGCTCATTCTTCCTACTTTATTGTTGGCTCTAGAGGCAATACTACTAGGGTTGATTATTGCGAGAAGCTGGAAGCTAAGAAGCGGTGAGAGCGTATGGAAAAGCAGCGTGCTGCCGTTGATATACTACACTGATCGGTTCAGGGGAGACAAAAGTCATGAATTGAGTGAGCAGCAGGCATTGATGAGTACGAAAGAGATGGAAGATGGAGCCCGAAACACTCGCGTGAAGTTTTCTCGGGTTCGCGAGGAGGAAAGCAAGAGCTTTCGACGGATTATTAGATAACATTGCGATCGATCGATGGTCCGGGATGCTCCAGGAAGACGGAGTCTGCCCCGCAACTCCGGCTCCGAGCGGGCACGGGCCTGCCGCGGTCCGGCCTTCATCTACGGACTTTAAAAGACTCGTAGAGTTATCCTCCCAGAATTATCCCATTTGATTGAATAGTCTGAACTAAATAAATGCCATCTTTTGAATTGTGCCCATCCCACCAAAGGAGCGAATTACGCCCAGATTGCCGTACATGCTCTACCCCCCGACACCCCTGCACCGGCCCCATGCAGATCAGGGTCCAGAAACCCTCCTGCATCCACCACAGCCCACGCAACGCAACATGAGCATCATTCCCGGCACCACCAGCATCTCAGTTCACCAGCGACTGTCAAGCGCCGATGGTTTAGTGGTAAAATTCTCCGTTGCCATCCAGCAGCGTCGGGGAGCCGGGGGTTCGATTCCCCCTCGGCGCAATCTTTTGCTCCGGGCGTCAAATGGCCCGTAGCCATGTCTCCTTTTTGGTACGGGAGGATCTCGGGGGTTGAGTGAACAGTTGACGACATATGAATGAATGCTATATGTGACCCGCTTGGCTACTAAATAGAGACAGACAGAGAGAGACATGTATGGTACAAGATGTACAAAGGAACGAATGCAAGCATGAGGCTGGACGACAGACCTCACGACCTCCCAGATGGCGCACTCGAACTCGACCTCCGCCTCTGGGTCCCCGGCCTCGCGTCGCCGTTCACCCTCCCGTTCAGCTGCCCCTTCGCCATCGCCTGCGACGCCGCAATCACAACCGTCTGGTCCGACCACAGCCCGACGCCGGGGTGTATCACATTAATCGTGTCCTCGCTCTCCTCCATGACGACCTGCGGGAACAGCGTCGCGCACACGTCCCCGGGGCCGCCCGCCGCCAGCTTCGACCGCGCGCCGTACTCATCCCACATCCGCGGCCGCTGGCCCTCGTCAATCTCCTCGATATCCTCGTCCTCGAGATCCTCGCAGAGGACGAGCTGCTTGGAGCGCTGCAGCTCGGCCCACATCTTGACGCCGGCCTCGAAGAAGCGCGTGAGGCGCTGCTGGAGGGGCAGGTACTTTGTCGCGGGCACGAAGGCGCACAGCTCGCGGTAGACCTCGTCTTTCGCCTGGGCGGCGACGGCTTTCGCGGAGTCGTTGCGGTCGCAGGCGGCGAGGATCTGGCAGCGGAAGATGGTGGCGCGCTGGACGTCCTCGGAGAGGTACTCGAGCACGTCGGCGCCGGCGTGGTGGATGTCCTGCGGGAGGAAGAAGGGCTGGAAGATATGGGAGCGGAGGAACTTTGCGATGACGGCTTGGGCGACAAGGCAGCGCAGGTCCGGGGTCGAGCCGGACTTGGGAATGGGGACGCGTTTGAGGTAGTCGAGCTGGTGGGGGAGGGAGACGGTGTTCTGGTAAATGTTAGTCTTGTGAAGGTTAGAGTTGGCGGGGTAGAGGGGTGGGGGCTTACAAGTGAATTATCTGGTTCTTTGAAGAACTCGGTTACCAGGCCTCGGGATTCTTCGGCGAATGCGTCTATTTCACGGCGGCTGTGTGTCTATTAGCTCTTTGTCCATCGATCATCATCGCGGTTTGACTTACAATCTGGCAAGCTCCCGGTCCTCGTAGTCGTGCAAGAGGTTGACCCCAACGTCCTTGTGCAGTTGGCGGAGTTCGCCGTCTAAGACGGTGAGTTCAGCTTCCCGCTGTTGAAGATCTGCCGCCAGAAGCGTCTTTTCTCTCGCCATCCTCTCCTTCTCGTCCGTCAGGGACTCGATCTGAGACGACGACTTTTCCGACAGCTGCTGCAGCTCCGCGACCCTCTGCCTCGCGGCCTCGGCTTCTTCCTCCTTCTTTTGGAGATCTTGCTGCGCATCCGCGAGCTTCTGGCCGGTGGCGGTGTTCTCGGCCTTTGTCTGGTTGTGGACGCCGACCCTCTCCTCGAAGCCTTCGATGAGCACACGGCGGGCCTCCTTTTCGGTGTCGAGCTCAGCCTTGAGCTGGTTGACTTTGGTGTCTGTCTCCTCCTGGATGAGTCTGACCTTGGTCTCTGCCTCTTCCTGGATTAATCGGACCTTCTCGTCGGCCTCTTTCTTAGTGAGCTCCACCTCCTGATCCTTGGCAGCCAACGCGTCGTCCCTGTCCTTCTTGACGGCGTCGATCTCTTCGTTCTTCTCCTCGACTTCCATCCGTAACCTCCTTTCGCTCTCCATGAGCTTCTCGAGGTCGGGAAGGCCGCCGAGTTCCCTCTCCATGTTGTTTGCGGAAGAGACCATGTTGCGGATGGCTTCCAAGAGCTTCGAGCCCTTGAAGGCCCCTTTGCCATTGCCGTTGATCATGCCGTTGGTGGCGGGCTTTGTCTTGGATTCTGCTGCCATCTTTGCGAGGGGGTTGGGGAAAGGTGCGTGATCAGAACAGTCTTCCTTTGATCGCACAGAGTTCCAAGAGAGGACATTATATGCCCTGGCTTCACAGCGAGACCGAGCCCAACGCCGTTACCAAAGAATTCGTTTCATTGGCAGCCTCGAACGTATGTTGGCCCGGGTCACATCTCATGATTTGCCAATGTCGGAGGCCGACTGAGCGGATGGTGTGTTGTTCGCATGTGGTGGCGGCTCATTCGTCGAGCTCGCCTCGTTGGGTTTTCCGTCCAGTCGAGAACGGGTTCGGTTCGCCTCCTCGGGCATGGTCGCGCTACATCCGGGCTGCACGTCTGTCTGGTGCGGGGTGGCCGGGACCGTAGCCGCCGGCGAGGCTGCGGGGCGCGACCGAGAACGGTTGGAGAAGACGGCGCATCGGAAGATGTAAGAGTCGCTGGAAATAGCAGTTGTGGCAGGACGGGATATCTTATCGGGTAGCAATGGGCACACGACTGTCGACAGTCGCGTCAACCCAGTCCTCTTGTCAAGCGCCAAAAGGCGCGCGCGGGGGAGAGGAACGTTGGGCAGACGCGGACGTGTCAGATTTAGGCGATTGCCCAACCGTGCCCGAATGCCGATAACCGACTGCCCGCAAGTCTAGACGTAGCCATCAGGAAGCATCCGTCTCCTGTTCTCAAAGAGATACAAGAAGATCTCCTGTGGCTCCCCGCCCAACATTGGCAGTGGCATCGCGGCCTTTTCCGTAACCGCCCAACCATCGTTCTTGACCAGTTCCCACAGTCGATCTTCGTCAGCGTGGCGGACTTTCATCGCCACCAACACTCGAGTGACAACTGGTTTATCTTCGGCCATTGCGTTGTTTTGCTTGTGAATAGCTGACCAAGTATCAATCAGAGAAGGCAGCGCATCGGCGTTGTAGGTGCAGTCGCTCAAGACGATCAGATCCCAGTGCGTGTCTTCGACAAGTGGCCCGAACAAGCCGTCTCGGCCTTCATCCCAGTCAAGCTCTTCGAACTGCGGCTCAGTGTGATTGCTTCTCGACAGTTCAATGTTGGACAGAACTCGCTCCTCGGCTTCGGAGAGGTCCGTGATCACAAGTCGACCCTTTCTCGATATAGTCTCCCGGCCCAGCATACGAGCAAGTCCGAGACCAAAGATACCGACGCCACACCCAAGCTCGAGGATATTGACGGGTTTGTTGCCGAACAAGAGAGACTTGAGGGTTCTCATGCCCAAAGGATGGCCTGCAGCCGTGCCAGAGTCGCCGTTGCAGAGCAGCCATAGCCGCGAGACGACCATCATGCCAGCATCCCAGACGTGACGCGCGATGCTCTCGCCGATGTCCTCCTCGACCACGATGTACGGATGGTGCTCACTCCCGAGCCGCAGGCGACGGAAACAGGTCGTCGGCGCACCGGGGGAATCCCCATATGCTTTGTAGCCCTGGGTCGGAACGTCCACATTCGCCCAGAGAGGCACAATCTTCCCCTCCTCGCCGTTGAACCCAGCCATCGCGACATCCGCCGCCGTCTCCGCAGATAACCCGGATCCAGCTGCAATATAGACCCTCAAGGGAGTCTCGCCGGAAGGAAGGTTCCGCTCAGGCTTCAGGTGCTGAGCCGGGAAGTCTGCCTTCAGAACCCGCATGCCAGACGTCCACTGCAGCGTCTTCTCTCCCGCAAGCGTCATCGGGGCCGGCTTCTGCTTAGCACTGCGAGGGTTCTCCCAGCCGAGGGCGACCTTGATCTTGACTGGCTCATCGTGAGCGAGGAACGAGTCGCCCAGATCGGTGGTGACGGTGAGCACTAGGTTCAGAGACCAGGGGTTCTTCTTGCCCTCCTGAAAGGTGAGCTTCGGGGCTCGGAGGAGCCGTATGTAATGCATTGGGCTTGTTCAGTCAACTTTTCGTGTTCCCGCTCTGGGCGTGGTGCATGAAGTCTTGTTGACGATACAGTGAAAACACAGTGGAAAACTCGAGGCCGGCTTAGTCATGCACCCGGGACTGTCGAAGTCCCACAAAATCACCTTGAGGTGCTCATCTCAGCGGCCTTGCAATTCTCAACACCATCTTTCCTCCCTCGACAACTCCTTTACACGCCGTGAACGTATGCCGCAGCAGCGCAACGATGAGGCCAATCCAGTGATCCCTCAGGTCCACCACTGCCGGCCTGGAAGTACCTCAAACCGGAGGTCGCCGCGACCGGACGCAATGGAGAACAGCCCGCGCTACGGACGCCTCCGATAGCAGGAGGTCGGCGCCACTTCTACGCCGTGATAAGCATCACGGCGATAAAAACCACCGGCCAATCCACCTCACGATTTCCCCGCCCAAGGGGTTTTCAGGCCAAGACAAACTGCCTCAGGTTGACCTTTACAAACAGCACTAGGTGCCAACACATCTCGTCCACCCTAACTACCTAGCTTCAAACCAGCGAACACCAAGCACCATGGCCGACGAACCTCTCCCCCCACGCGACCCCAAGACCCTCCTCTCCGCCCTCCTAACCCTGACCGAAGCGCGCATCGTGCCCCTAACACAACGCGGCGTCTCGTCCGGCAGTAAGCTCTTCGGCGCCGCCATCCTCTCCTCGCAAACCCTCGAGCCCTACACCGTCGCGACCAACGACGAACGCACCTCCCCGCTGCTGCACGGCGAGATCAACTGCATCCAGCAGTTCTTCACAACCACCCACCCGGACCCGGCCACGCGTCCGTCGCCGCGGACCGACTGCCTCTTCTTCGCGACCCACGAGCCCTGCTCCCTCTGCCTCAGCGGCATCACCTGGTCCGGCTTTCGTGAGGTGTACTACCTCTTCACCTACGAGGACAGCCGCGACCTGTTCGCGATCCCGCACGACATCAACATCCTGCAGGAGGTGTTCCGCGTGCGCGCCGAGGGCGAGGGCGACGAGGCGCTCGCGCGGCGGGAGCTGTACAACCGCACCAACAAGTTCTTCACGGCGCGGAGCGTGGCGGACCTGGTGAGGGAGCTGCCCGACGAGGGGGAGCGGGCGCACTGGACGGGCGAGGTGGAGCGTGTCAAGGGGCTGTATAACGCGTTGAGTGACACGTACCAGGAGGGGAAGAAGGCCGGCGCGGAGAGCTCGAGCGTATGGAAGTGAGAAAGTGTGCGGCTGGCTTATTCGTCAATGGCTGCGTTGGCAGGCTTATTTTGGAGCGGCGAGGTCGGCGGAGGCTGGGAATCGGCGCCGGTGACGCGCCGGTGACTCCAGCGGTTTGATGGCCGGCGAGGCGGCTATTTTAGCCTGCGCTTTGCGTCTATGCTGGCGGAGGCTGGCGTCTGTAGTCGCGATCTAAAGATAATGCCAGCACGACATCTTTCTAGCTTGGTTCTGCGACACTATGCCGTTTCCCATGAACACCCCAAGATTCGCCTGTATAGCAATTCTCCGAGTGTCAAAAGTCTGATGTTGACCCTTTTCGGGTCGCCGAGCAGAGACCTGCCTCTGTCGTGGCCCGGAAGGAACACTGCTGCAGAGATCAACATCGCATATAGCCCCCGGTGGCGGGGATTCCGCACGCTCAGCCGGCCAAGAAGGCAGCGAGCGACGCGCAGAGTCCGAACCAGTAAGCACCTAGTTTACGTGTACTGAACCCCGAAGCTGGCATGCGGATGCGGCCGGTGAGCCAAACTCAACGCACTGTGCTGAAGAACCGGCGAGTTGTGAGGGCAGCGGATATGCATGGCGGGGTAAGCAAGGTCAGCACAGCGAACTGAATAGCGGGGTGTGGTTTGTATGTGTTTCTCTCGTCCATTCATCCCCGTCGTGAGCGAGGTACATGACGAGGTACTTTGCTCCTCCACGCCCCTCCCTTAACGAGGTGCATCCGCCAGCCGTTGATTGGCCCGAGTCGGGGGGATGGAGGGGGAAGAGCATCTTGGCCGTTTTCCCATGTGGGTTCTCTTGCGTGCAGAACAAGCGTCGCTCGGCGTGGAGCGCACGTTGTGCCCGCCGCGGTTGCGGTTACGGGGTGCGCCCGGGTCGATGGATTTGCCCGCCGCATCTGTACCATACCATACCAATTTCCCTTTTTAACGAGTGGCATCGTCGTGGTCGGATCGGTCGGGAATGGCGCCTCGTCCCGAAGCTGAGGCGCGTTGGTTTGGATGAGCCACCGTACGAAGCCACCTTTGCTGGGTATGACGAGCTGATGAACTGTTTCCTCAGCCCGCCCGTCAAGGAAATGTCACCACTGCTGCTGCAGTGCGAGTATCTCAAATGTAGCCTATCTGCAGACTGCGGCCTGGGTAGGTAATGAACTCCACGGGACACAGACGGACGAGGGGGGGCTCCGCCGTCGCACAGCACCTCATGCTCGAGGGCGGGCATATCCAGGGCAGAGGGCTTTTCTGGAGGAAGGTCTCCGGAGGCTGCCAATAGCATGCGCACCCGTAGTCGCTTCGTTTGTTGTCGTTGTTGGTCATCATCTTCCCCTCTCGGGTCTCGTCTCAGCAGCTAGCTACCCCTCTCTTCGTTGCATGCAGCAGCATCCGTGGCATCCCGGGCGGACAGGGAAGAAACGACGCAGCAGCCCACCGGCCGGCCAGACAAACAAACGCGGAGCGACAGGCGCGGGGACAGCGGCAAAAAGCCCTATCACGCGCTCCGTGAGTCCATTCCACAGACTGGTCACTCAGTCCACGGCGGACGGTCTTTTTCTGGATGTTTCGTATGACCATGGTGGTGAGGACAGGGACTTGGTTCGGGATCACTGCGGCGCGGCCACGGCGGCTGTCGAAAGAGGCATCGCAAGCAGGGAAGCGTTGGCAATGTGGCCTGGTGCTCGTGGTGGTGTGCGGGTGACGACGCTGGGTGGACGCTGAGGAAAGGTGACTTTCACAAGATTGGACTGACAACTGACAGTTCGCGGGGTGGTCGAGTTGAGTTGGACGTGAACCCCTCCCACTGGGAACGGGCCGACACAGCACCTGGCAGCACGGGAACCGTCGAATGCGTGGGCTGGGTTCAGGGTTGGAGTTGGTGAAGACGGCACAGCTACGGCTGGACAGGGCCCTGGGCGTGTGCATCTGAGAAACAGTCAAGTCACCTCAACCCGTCCGGGAATGCGCACGGGGGTTGCAGCGCAGTGGAAAATGACGCAAGGACAGACTGCCTGCGATGGGCTGGCACTGGCAGCACAGGACAGGGCCCAAAAATACCGTCGTGCGTTGGTGATGGTGCTGTGCTGTGCCGCTGCTGCATGCTGTTCTCTTCTGCCTGCCGTGGGTTACTACGTCCTGGTTCGTTTGCATGCTGCCTGGCTGCAGTCATTCCAACTCTTTTTCTGGAAGCCAGTAAACCTCTGCTTCCTAGATTGGCTTTGGGTATCAGCAGTGAGTAACACGGCAGCCGTGTTCCTGCGGTGCGAGGCGAGAGTGAGGTGAGAAGGCAGAAGAACCCCCGGCGGGTGGTCAGCTTACAGAGCCGAGCATGGTGGTGTTAGGGGCTGAGCTGCGAGACGACCCGATGGTGGTATTCCTGCCTCCAAGATGAGACTCCATTGTCTGTTTTGGGGGAGGGACATGGGGGTTGCCGTTGCATCTCCAGGTTGCGATGGCGGCTGGAGCCAGGCACCGAATTCTGTGTTGGTTGCTGAAGAAATGGAAAGGAAGGGATCCATGGCCATGATGTCAGCTGCTGTTTGACATGAACAGGAAACCAACCTGGCTGGAGGGGTTCTGAGTCCCGACGACGAACGAGAGGTTGGTTCCCTGTTTCCCCTCTTTCACCCCTCACTGGGTTCCGATCCATACCCACACCTTCTGCTTGAATCACCAACGCGTGCAGGAGGTCCTGTAGTCAAACGTATTTCCAGATTAGGAGTTCACTGCGATTTTTACCTGGCCAAAGGGCACAGCAAGGCTTTGCTGCCGAGACGGGAGAGATCTTGACGGGCTCGGGTTTGACCTGCATTCCCGCGAAAAGTGCAAAAGTCAGCCCCCCCATGTTTGTTCACTGCGATCTTCGTTTACACATAGAACATAGCGGTAGCCCATCGAGACCACAGACAGCCAGCCGGCCTTGTATTGCCCTGCACTGCTGTAAATTCGAATCACCAACCAGTGGCTTATGGTTTCCTACAGATCGCAACAGTCGTCACGATGGGAACCTCCACGCGTAAATGTCCTGCCTCCGAAGGCCAATGGCGAGGTGCAAAAGAAGCTTGTGACACAGTTGTCAATTGCCACTTTTGGACTTCACTGCGATTTCAGCCCATCCCGAATGCATACCAAGCCTTTGCATCCGAGGTGGAAAGGAAAGATCTGGTTGGCCTCATGCGTTCAACCTGCATTCCCACCCAACAAGGAAAAAGTTGCACTTTCATCTCTTCACTGCAAACTTAACCCACGCCGAGGGAGTTGTGGGCTTTGGTTCTCGAGTTGAGAGCCGTTGGGGATCCCGAGTTCTCCATTCGGAAATCACTGCAATTTTAACCTATCCCAAGGGCAGAGCTTGTTCATGTCACCGAGACGGAAGAAATTGTCTGTGAGAAGTCGAATGATAAGTCACTTGAGTGCATGCGATTTCATCCAACCGAGATGTTCTGCCAACTTCATCATAGGGAGAAATGCCGCGGGCACTCTGACTGCTCAGATGACTCTTTCGCCGTTGAAGGGAGTTGTCAAACATTCAAGGGACCTGAACCAACACATCAGCCCCCATCGCCAGCGGGAGGAGCGGCATCCTTCAAAATCCAAACCGATCGTCGTCCAAGACACGGCATCTCACCTCAAAGACAGGCCGTCACGCACCCAACATCCCACAGCCTCTGCCTCGTAAGGCTGCCACAGCCCCCGTTCCCTCGTCCGGTGCTCCGTCCAATCTGGCCCCCAATCGCAGCCCGTCACATCGCAACACAAGATGCTCACAACTCTCACAACGCCCCTCCATCACGGAAACCCAATCACCACATTGCAAGCCACGGTAGCACCAACCGCAGCCTGCTGCTGCTGCTCGGAAGTACCTTGCACTTTCAGGCCTTAGGTTCGCATTTAGGAATCCCGTGCTGAGACATGCGGGCTTACCTGCGGCAACTGTAGCCTACCTTGCCTGCCACTCAACCCCAAAGACACAGAGCCAGAAGAAAACGTGGGTGAGCCCCCCGGACTGCCGCTGCAGGTCATGGCGGCCGTTGATTGGCGACCTTAGCGCTGACCCAAGGACGCCATGCCCGTGCATCACCACCAACACCACTCACCCTTACGACTGACTCCCTCGGAATACCATCTCCAACCAGGTCCGGCCCTCGAGTGCCAGTCAGACAAACCACACCCCTTTCCCCAGCCTTGCGATATTTTTCTTCTTCCTCGTCGCGATGCAGCCACACTCAACTCGCCCAGAAGCCAAACGGCGCACCCAAATTCAATCTACCCGCTCATCCGCCCGCAGCGCCGCCTCCATCCCAGGCTCGTCACACCGAAGCCCCCGGTCAGGACCTGGACGAGTGCTCCCACACCAAGACACCAACCAACTTCTGTCCTTCCGTCTTCTAATTGAGCAATGGTTTTCCATCACAAGGCTACCTTCCTCTGTTTAGCAGCACGTTTGTCAAACGCAGCCAACCACCCGTCTTGCGCGACAAACAGATTCACGCACTATTGCTTGTGACCACCACCAGCCAGCCTCCTCTCCGTTGCCGCCGCCGCCAGAATTAACCACAACCACCACCATCACCATCACCAACATGTGCCCCTTTTTCGTCACATCACAAGAAGACACACCGGAAAGTCCACCCGCGTAAAAAAAAAAAAAAAAGAAGCCACACCTAACCACTCGCGGTAGCACAACCGTCCGCCGCCGTTTCGTCTCGGAAGCCATCATCCACCCCAATTCACACATCCCCAAAAGGAAACAGGGACGCACGCTTCCATCAGCCGAGCCTCAACAAAGATGAGATCTGAGAATTACCCTCTCTCCCTCCCTTTCCGTCCGTCCATCCATCCATTCCCAGCCTCGTCTCATCACACAGGTACGACCAAAGTCCCCTGACAAGGCACCCACGTTCTACGGCTACGCATCGACGACCACTGACTGCTGCATATGCCACCCGCCGGCCCCCTTCAAACCCTGCCATCCCAAAACGCAAAACCAACGCACGCACGCACACTTGCCAACGGCCGTGGGCGAACGGGCAGAGAGCAAACAAACTTTCTTCCATCTGAACCACTGCAACCCAAAGAAACATGCAACCCAAAAGTAAACCGCTTGCTCACGTCCTGCCACCTGCTTGCTGCAAGCACACAGTCCCCCTAATTCCCCCCCTCCCTGTCCAAAAGAAGACCCTGGACACACACACGATTTCACCTCACTCAAAAAAAACGAAGAAAAGCCGTTTCTCCCAAGCCCGTGCATGCAAGGGAGAAGAAATCATGGCATCACCCGGCAAGCTCAGACGCGCCGGCAAGAATGCGGCTGATGTCTACCTGACCTGCCTCACCTCAGCCCGGGCGCCGGTCGAGTCAGGACCAAGACAAGACACCAGAACGACACCCCCCAAAACATAATCTCAAACTGGCTATTCTTCTTCCTCTCCAGTGAATCATGTCTCGCAGCCTGAAAGATGCCCACTGCCCAAAGAAGCCCGCCCCCATCCGAGGGAGTGAGAGCAGCCTCGTTGGGGTTCAAGATCAGGACTTGACTAAAAATGTCTCTGACTATCATGTAAGAGAAGGAAAAGGTTTCAAGTTGGCCCGGCCACGAACAGCCCATGTGAAATGTGTCAAAAAAGCGATGGAAAAGCAGAAGGAGACAATTTGTGCTTCATTAGTAGTCTATCTGAACTGTTTGACTGAAACATCCGACCAGTCAGTCGCGAGAGGCTCCCGTCGCAAAACATTCGTCCTCCTCCCTCCTCACGCTTCTCCTTGCGACGCGCAAACCGCCGTCGCCGCCTATCCCGCGCCCGACTATCCGCATCTTCCGCCATTGCCTTTGCAGTCGCGAACGGCGACGCTCGGAAATACACATTTACAAATCCATCCTCGTGATGTCCCGCCGCGCCGAGGGTTCGCATGAAATCCGCTCCCAAGGGTCCCCTGAACCCGACCCCCTCGCCTAAAGCTGCGTATGACCTCATTCTGGCATATCCAACGCCGGGCCCCCCGCGCGAACGCGAACGCCGCACGGCCGCTCCCCGGTAGGCCCCGCTGTCCGCGATCCGTCCACGGGTTCGTGAGGTGCTCGCTTCGCCAAAAAGCCCACGTGGATCGTGACTGATGATGACGTTTTCCCCGACCGGGGTCAACGGTCAATGCTTCACATTAGCGAGACGAGGGTCATGATGGCCTCATGCGAGGACCGCACATTTCTTCACATGGGGCACAATGGTATGATGAAACATTTTGAATGATACTGTGTCAGGTTTCTCAACTATCTCGCGGCTCCTCTCCCACCCAACGAGCCAAAGTAGCAAAAGGAAGGGGTATCTTATGCCAGCACTCTCCTCCGGTCTTCCTGCTCAAAATAAGAAAAGAAAATTGTCGACTCTTGCCAATGAATGGAGTCGCAAAAACTCGGGTAGTAAAGCGATGCGCCTCCAGCGCGGCCTGCTGCTGCTTCTGCTCTGCTAACAATAAAACAAATAATTCTCAGAATCCTCGCGTGTCCCTGTCCGTCTAATAAAAAACAAATCGTGCTTTCGACCCCCCGGTAAATATTACATGTTGCTGTTCGTGTGCCTGATAAACAACGCAGCAAATAACAAAAAGTACTTCTCAAACTTTGAGCGCAGCGCTATCCCATGACTGGACCGTGGTCGCAGTCGCCCGTAAAATAAAATTCTCATGGTCGCAATCGAAAGCATGCTTTTGATGTTCCATCCCAAACACAGGTGCCCATGGTGTCATAGGCCGTGCGTGTTCGCGTAGTTCGTTCTCGTTCCGTCCCGTCGTTCGTCGACTCGGGAATCCAGCGTCGAGTGATCCGTAGGTATCTCGGGTATCGAAAGAAGAAAAGATCCTTGGTATGTATCCCCGATGCAATAACAGCTCGCGCCGTATTATGTTTATGGTGATAAGAGAGAAAGTCCAAATCCCTGGTGCGTAGATAGAGATGGAAAAGGAAATTCCCTGGGAAAATGAGATCCGGAAAACAAATTCCTAATCGTACAATCGGCAACTCCCTCCGTGGGTTCGATATTGGTTTTTTTGGAGTTTTCTGTGTGGTATGTGTGGCTCCATGTGTCCATGTGGGTAGTCCGGGTGTCCAGTGGAAGAATGCGTCCAGGAATGAGACAATAGACATTAAGAGACCAGGCAGAGTGTCCAAGCGGAGGTTTCTAAGCCGTGGGGTTGCGGAGGATCTCCTCACAGTTGGCATCGAATCTCAGGTTGAAAAGACGGACGCCCTGCATGAAACGCTCGGTCTTGTCAAGCTCGCGCTCACGGCCGAAGAGAGTCTCGACGAACTCGACACCGGCGTTCTTGCCGAGGGAAGCACCCTTCTTGTTAGCCTTGAGCATGGGAGTCTCGCAAGTCTTGAGGAGCTTGCGGAGCTTGTCAGTCAGGCGCTCGCCCGAGTCAATGAAGTCATCGAGGATCTCCTTGTTCTCAGTGCTGCGGACGCGGTCAACAGTCTCATCCGCACGCTTGATCTTGCCTGCGAGCTGGATAAGAAGGAGCCAGAGCTCACCAGCCATGTCGGAGATGGGAGTGGCAGGGCCGTGGTGGAAGACAGTCCAGTCGTAGATCCACTTGCCAAGGGAGTTGGAGTCGAAGACACTGCCCAACAGGAGGATTGGCTCCTCAGTGGGATCCCAGTTCTTGAGCGAGTAACCAGGGGGGATCTTGTGCCTCTTGGCATCAGCATCGGTGGCCTGGCGAACGGGCGTGGGTTTCTTCTGCTGGGACGTGGGGCGGGTGGTAGAGGGTCTCTGCGGGACATTCGCCGAGGAGCGGCGGGCATGGGTGTTGGCCGGGGAGGGACGCGAGCGGGAAGAAGACTCGTAGGGGATGGCATCGCGCTCAATGTAAGTGAATCCGCCCTGCTTGGGATAGTGGTAATCAGTGGGATATCCTCGAGCGGCGTCTTCATAGAAATATGTGTCTTGAATAGAGTGTCTCTTGTTCCTCGACCGCGACTGTGCCGGCAAGACGTAGGTGCGTCCATCCATCTCGAAGAACTCGTCCTCGTCGGATTCGCCAAGGGGCGTGGAGGCCCGGACATAGACAAAGGAAGTTCGGCGCTCGCGCTTTGGTTGCGACGGAGTGGCCCATGAATGCTTGCGCGAATGATGACCACTACTCACATTTGCCGTGGCATAATGGCCATCGCTCGTGTACCGCGGCGAAGCCGTCGGGGGACGAGGGCTGTACTCGCTGAAGCCGGAGCTGGCGTTGCGGAAGTGGGCGCGGGTCGCCGGTCTCTGGGGAGTGGCGCCAGAGTAGTAGTAGGATGCGTGACCCCTCGGAGAGGGAGTGGGAGTTGCCGACTGGAATCGTTCCCGGGAGTAGTAGTACTCCTCGCCGGGAGTGGAACCGGGGTAGGGTGATGTGTAGTTGGCCATGATGTCTGGTGTTGGCCTGTCTCTTGCGACGTCTGTTCGGTAGCGTCCAAAGTTCTTCGTCTCAAATCTTCAGCGTCTCCTGCTGCGTCGTCCTCTTGCTAACTCTTGAAGTCGTTTCCTCCAAAATTCGGTTGGTGTGATGCGGATGTCTGATTCCAGGGCCAGGTGTCGCGCCGGTGTCGAGGCACGAAAGAAGGTGAAGCAGGTCACCTTGGTATGCGATCGGATGATAGAGGAGAGGGAAATTGTCTTCTGTGACCGAACATGACCAGGTTGTATAACTGCTTCGGGTTACCCTCGATGACCAAGGATAGGATCCAGATTACCGAGCGGAGCGAGAATTTTCTCGATCTCGGTAGAGCGTGGTAGAAGGTGCTGGTTGCTTCGGAGGCTCGCCAGCAAATCAAACGATGACGTTGATGTAGGACTGGAGTTGGGTTGAGGCTGAATGATCAAAGATTGAAGTGATTGGCAAAAGCCAAAAATGTGAGAAGAGAGGGGAAAGCCTAAGAGGATGGTGAGGGTGCGGCCTATTTAATTATTCCCACGCAGGTTTTGTGTGTGAGGAGAAGGGTGAGAGGAGTCCACCGTCGACCCAAGGGGGGTGGTGCTCGTGGTGGAACTGGAAGGGGGACAAGGGGGTGTGGTGTGGACTTTGCTAAGGTAGCGGCGGAGCCCAGGGAAGTTGCTCCCTAGAACCTTGCTGCAGGACAGGACAGGGGTGGCAGGAGTGGCTGGCTCTAGCGTGCGAGGACACGGAACCTGGCCCCAATTTAGGCCCCTCCACTCTGGGATTTTGGAAGGGGGACACAGACTGAAGGTGTCCAAGGGGGGGAGGGTGGTGATAGAAACAGGTACTCGCAGCAAGCTGGCTTAGTATCTCTCTCTTCCAGCCGTCGTGCAGCGCTGAGCATTACTCACACCTGCGGGAGGTCTGGATGAGCCACACAGCGTACAGTGCCAGCTTATCGTCGCAAACACTGCCAGTGAACGGCTGCGTGAGAGGTGAGTCTCTCTCTTCGGTCCAACACCAATCGCCGGCCCGTCGTCTGTAGTTGCGATGCTGTTCGTGCGCCCACAGCGAATCCAACGCCAGCAAACTGCGACTCAGCCCGTTATGTCCGTGGTTCAGCTTGGAGGATGCACCAATGCGTGGACAACTCAGGGTTCTTATGGCGATGATGACTCTCGTCGCTCTGAGCCTGCTCCCGGTCCAAATCTTTTAGAATCCGCCTCAGTCCGGCGCAGCAAGTCAGTGTCAATCAGCGCGCACTGCTCGACTGAGAGCAATAGGGGTCGCGCTGAGGCGATGACGCTGACTCGACAGGATGCCTTGTAGTCGGGGCACAGCGGCGCCAGGCAGGTCTGCGAAAATAAAGAGAGCCCGCGAAGAATGCTGTTCTCGTCGCCGTGTTGGCCGCCTCTGTTTGTCCACAGGCAACTGGCTTGCGCGATGCTGGCACTCGCGCCGCACCTCTTTTTGATTGCTTTTTTCTATTGTTCGTCGCCGAGTGTGACACACAATCTTGTCACCTCCCCTCTAGTGTTTCGGGGGACGCGGCTTCTGTGTCAATCTCAGCCTTCCTTCTTGGTCGAAACAAGTGGAATGGCGTGAAGCCGTAGATCGATATTCACACGTCGACGCCAAAATCGCCCACACCTGTATCAAAATCCGGTGTCTGCCCTGAACTCTGGTTCCCGATGGACCTGACGGCAGGGAACACTCGAGAAAATCGACCCGGGCTGTGCTGGAGAACCAAAAAGTCAGGACTGGGAGGCCTTGTCGTTTCAATGAGTCGACGCCAACGTCCGTGGGATCCCGGCTGGAGCTCCTAGTCGCCGCCCAAAAGTGCTGGTGAAAAAAATAACCCCAGAGATGCAATCCCAGTGATCCTAGTGATTTCAGGCGCTGCCGTGTGTAAAAATTTGCCGGTTGTTTGGTAAGCGAAATTGGCTGCTCGCACGAACAGGCGTGGAGATAATTGGATTTGGAAATGGCCTCCCCAAAAAAGCACTCCAACGGTGCGGCAGCGGGATCTCACCGGGGCCCAGTGCCGCTCGAGCGTCCCAGTGAAAATTTTTCTCTCTGCTCTACCCCCTGGCGTAACGTGGCTGGCCGCTGTCTGGTCCTTGATTATCGAGCAGGGTAGCAATTGTTGGGAGCTTGGGATTCCTCGAGTGAATCATACGGTGTCAAGGTGAAGGCCACCGAAACACGAGCCCACCCTGCCGGCGACGATTTTGGTAGGTCGGACAAGGCTAGAGAAAACTCTACGGTGCGATTGGCATGAAGATGATTTCGTGGCCTGTCGCCGCAATATCGACAGAGATTCCTCAGGGATGGGGAGGATCAATAGGGAAGGTGTGCGACAATGGTTGGGGCGAGAAGAATCCAGATGCGCTCCGTGAAGAGTCAGAGGAATGGCTCCGATTGTTGTTTTGGGCTGAATGTTGGTGTTGGTGTTGGTGTTGTTGGCGGTGGTGGTTCTTCGTCGTGCTTCTTGTCGTGGCCAGGTGCTGCCTGCTCGCGCCCTTCCGTGCGTCCTCGGTGAGGCTGCTTAGCCTTGACAGCGATAGAGAGAGCTAGGAGGAAGCAGTCTGGCGAATCCCGGTCTGAGTTGCAGGGACGGATAGGTCGAACTTTTTTTCCCCTTGCCCCTTGCTTTTCGTCCCTTGGGTTTGCAAATGTGGTTGGAAACCCCCCTGGTTGGCGTTGAGGCGTAGTCGGAGCCTCGGTCCTATGGCAGATGAGATGTGCCGTCCCTTGGAAATGAGCAGCTGGCAGCTTCGGTCCGTGGAATTGTTCGACTGCGGAATGCGACAGAAACGATTGCGCCAAGAGCTGCGCGGCGGGAAGATGAGCTGGGGTTTTGGAGGTGCAGCCAGATAGGCTTGGTAACACCGGATCACAAGCAGAGGATTGCGACCAGCCGCGCCAGGGAGAGTGCAGCCGGGCGATTGATCCGGAGGAGGTTGGTGATGCGATAGACTTGTTCGCGGTGGTGTGACGAGTTCTGTGCTTTGTCTTATAGGCGGCTGGCTGGTTGGTAGGTCCGGCAGAGGTGACTCCCAGAGGCAGGCCGCGACAATGTTTGCCTGGTGGTGTTGGGTGTAAGTGGCAGGCCACGATGCGATGACCAAGATGCAAGAGGACGAAAAGGCAGGAGGAGACGACGAAGCGGGGCTGGGAGTCAGAGGCCCTTTAATGATATGGATGCATGATACTCTGTACAAGACACGGGGGGGGAAACAGGAAGGATGAACGGGAATGGTGCGAGAAGCAAGAGGGCAAGGCAGGTCCAGGCGTCTTGCATGCAGGCGTGATCACGTTGGAGGGGTTGGCGATGACGAGCGTCACCATTCACGATGGAAGGGATGGGATAATGCGCGAGATATGGGAGATGCGATATAAGTGATCACACCCTCCCAGGGAGACCGGTGAAGATGAGAGGCTCAAAACGTGACTGTGCAAGTGATAGGTGCGCAGTGTGCACACCCTCAGTCTGTCTCCTCCAACGTGAATAATCAAGTGGCTGAGCAGTAAGCGCCTGCGATAGTGACGATGCGGCAGTTCACGGGCTTGAGTGGAGGAGTTCGCCCATCACATGGCCACATGCACCCTCAAACGCGGGGTGACGGGTAGCGGAACCTGCAGGTGAGTGGCAGCGGGCAGAGAGGGGCCCCTCGGTGGCCGCCGTGGCCCAGCCATCCCTCTCCATCCACGGTGACCGGAGAGGGCAGCAGGTGAGCGTGGTGAGCCAGGCGAGCCCAAGCCCGGTGGCCCGGTGTGGCAGAGGGAGCACCGGGGAAGGTGAGGGGGACGAGAAGCAGCATTGATTCGCCATTAATTCTTCACTTTATCCAGCAATGGGGGAAAGTGCACTTTGTTGAAGGTTGCTGACGTGCTTTCCTCGGTACCTACCTCAGGCTGCTGCAAGTCGCCACCTGATAAGGTAAACTCGGGACGTGGCTTCTTCACTGGCAAAAGAGGCATCCAATGGCAGGAGGGCCCGGTCCGACATGGGAAAGAGGAAGGAGGAAGGAAGGGGACCTTCCAGATGAGAAACGACTTGACGGAATGCAGTGTGGTGCGTGCTCAATCCCATCTTCTGTCTGCTTCTTTCCAACGCGCTCCCCTTCCACGAATCAGAGTTTGGCATCAGCACCAAGGGTAACTCCCGTCTGTTGCGCAAGGACTTCTGCAAGCCCGCGATGGAATTGCACTTTCCAACGCACGTCACCCGCTCGTCCGCACCGCACCTCGTCTGTTTGTCTGCCTGCATCATCCCGACTCTGTGCTGCTGCTCGGGTACTGGCAGGCAATAGCAGTCTTCGGACGGTCGCCCACAATGCAGACCCCTGCATTAGATTGAGGCCAACCGCTGGGATGAACCCGAACGCAACAACAATTCCAACGTCAATCTATCACTTTTATTCGCATGGCTGTCTCCAGTGCGTATGCAGCCCTTTTCGCCTCCTCCTGTCCATCATCGGTGATCAACTAATTAAGTGTATACATAGTACATAGCTCCAATGTCGCCGCGCCTCTGACTCCAGTCCAGCACTTTCCATTCGCCTCCAACAATTCTTCTCCGCAAGCTCAGCTACGACCTCCATCCATTACGACGCGCTACAGCCTACCACGCTTCCATGTTGTATTAGCCCGGGTCATCACCATCCAATGACTCGATCGCCGAGAGGAAAGAAGCCTACCGACGGGACGGAAGCACAGCGGCGGCGGCATCGGCCAGGGCATCGAAGCTGAGGTGGAGCCCATCATCCGCATGGTCGAATGGGATGGATTCCATGCTCATGGCCATGACCTCAGCCTGAGGTGTTCCGACTGAACGTTTCCCAGTGGTCCAGACCGACCCTCTTTTTCCGCGCGACTCCCCAGTCATCGTCGCAGTCGGCACACTTTTTTTCCTTCCTTAGCCCGCCGTCTGGAGTCAAGCCCACAACTTTGGACGACCGGATGAACTGGCCTGTCTTCCCCGTCC